TTCTGGGGATAAAAGGGCAAGGACAAGTACAAGTTCTTGTGTCTTCCCCTCTCCCGCTCTTCTATGTATAGGCCGTCCTTCCATCTCCCTGGTCCCCCAAGTCAAAAACCCCATTGCCATGTGGAATCTTTTTTCATTCCTCAGAGCCAATGGCGCATCAACTTCTATCAATTTTATATTCTTAATATAAAAGGCATAATCTCACTACATTCTTTGCTCAGGCCTACAAAACCCTTTAGATAGGCTTCTGCTATAATTGATTAATTGGTTTCTAGGTCTCACACCCCCTTCTTAGACCTAAACTCCGCAGTGCTGCTAGACATGTGTCTCTCTCTCTCTGGATAAAGGCCAAACTCCACAGATACCAAGCACCTCAACTCTCCCCCTGAGCCTCATCGCCCACTACTCATCCTCTTGTTGTAATGACAGTAACGATTTTAATAGTTAGGATTTATTGAGAGTTTTTATGTGCCAGTCATTGCATTATGCATTTTATGCATATGAACACATTTTAATCTTTACAACAACCCTGAAGGTAATTTACTTATCCCTATTTTATAGGTGGAGCAACTGAAGTCCAAAGAAGTTAACTTACGCAATATCATTCGAACCCAGGTGAGCTGGCTTCAGATCAACCCTCTTAACCATCGTGCTATATTATATCACCTTTTCACACTTCACGCTTCAGCAAAACTGAGTTATGCTTCTGGTTCCCTATGCTCCAGCAATACCAAGCTACGTATGGGCCCTCGAATCTGTGTTGCCAAGGCGACTATGCCTTTGTATATGCCATTTCTTTTGTCCCTTGGGAAGACCCTGTCCTTCTGTCTGATAAATACCAACCCATTCTTCCAAACCTCCCTAACGTGTCGCTTTTTCTATGTGGTGCCTCTCCTCTCCCTGAGACCAAAGTCTCTCTTACCCCTTCACCACTCCTACGGCTTATGTGTACCTTGTAAATACTTCTCTGTTGCCCTGGTTTACACTGATTCACTTGCATGCCTTCACTGAAGGCAATCCTATGGCTTTCAGCTTTGGGTCTCAGTGCCAAGGCACACAATAGATACTCAATAAATGTGGATTTAACTGGGCTTTCCATGAAAGGGGTGAGTACAAGTTCACTAATACTTGACATGTCAGGGCAGAAGAGAAGTGTATTCTCCATACTTTTTAAAGACATATATTCATGAGCAAAGCAAAAACTCACCAAACACTACAGATCTTCTAAAGGGAAGATGCAGCATGCATAAAAATTCAATACACTCTGACAACTAGAGCAGTTAGTTTAAGATCCCTGAATGTACCTGCTGTTCATAGCAACTGCCGAGTAATGTGAATTCAGCAAAACAAAACCAAACCTAAAAAACTTTTATCCCATGGGTTCTCAGAAAAATACATTTGGAAACTTGCTTAAACTAAGTGAGTCACAAACTGCCCACTGGCATGGATAAGGGTTTTACTGATGTGCGTGCCAGTGAGGTTTGAAGATCATCTCCCAAGCCCAATGAAAACATCCATTTCTGACCATTAAGGTTAAAAATCAAGCATCTTCTGGATTTTCTAGGCTGCGCTCCAGCAAAACTAAAGGTGTACCTCAAAACTGAGCAGCAGCATTTAAAAATCAATGATAGCCCTTTCTTTACACTATGACATAGAGGAGCTAGAAGTAAAAGAGAAGCTTGATCCCTTCCCCCTAAAAGTTTTTAATCCAACAGGAAAAGAAAAGATGTTACAAACGTAAGTGGTGACATAAAGCAGGCAAACGACTCCATTCCAAGTTGTGAGCGGGTCCTCAAGTGAATGGAATATCCACAGATCTATGAAACTTACAATCTCTTAAGCATGCAATTATTACTTCACTTTAAACCAACAAATTTTGGTTGAAATAATCTGTCCCTTCAGCCTAGATTTCTGTCCCTCAAAGCAGCAGGTAAATGGTTGTGTTGAGACTGCCTTGAGGAAATAAGGGAGGGGGAGAGAGGGTAAAGCCAGTCGTAAAAAACGAACCGTTTCCAACAGAACATGTGAGCTTTACAGCAAAACAGCAGACAAAGTCAGTGTGCATCCAGACAACCCAATGTGTGCCGCCGTCAAGACAAAAAAGAAGGAAGAGTACAATATATCGTCTTCGGGACACAGCACGAGGAACCCAGGCTTTCAGCTCATCAGCACCGTGTAAGAGTCTAGACTTGGAATTTAGTCTGCAGGCTCCTTTCCCCAAGAACTTAGGGAGTTATAGGCCCAGGTAGGGCTCTGAGTTGGAAGGGAAACCTTCAAGGTTTTCCCGTGATAAGGCAAACCAACAGAGCAGTGCCTGCTGAACTGGCAAGGCAGATATGATGTAGCAAACCCAAAGGCTGCCATGATGACAGTTTCTACCATGACAGAGATGTAAGGGGAGTGTCTGAAACCATCCAGTCTCTCTCTCTTTTGTCTGAGTGGTACAAACATCCTATCCCTAGGAGCTCCAAGATGCTCATTCACAGGCTCAAAGCTGGGCTTCACTCTTGGATAGATACAAGAAGCTGATACTAAAGAAAAGGTTAAGAGGAAGTCCTCTGGATTACAAGATTAATCAGAACAAGGAGCTGGGATAAAACATGCAAAATGAATGATCAGACAAAGTCAGTGTGTAGAAAAGAAGCTAGGCTTGGGCAGGAGAGATACTCCCAGGGCTAAGGCATGTCCAGCTGTGGAAGAGGACCTTGCCTGGACACTGGGCACATCCTCCATGATGCTGGTGAAAGCAGAGGACAGCTTGGGGAATGGCAAAGTCCTTTTGAAAGGACAGATTTAGGGAACCTGACCAACCAGGTAAGGAATGGGGTTAATGTGGGTCTTGGAGGAGGAGACAGGATTTACAGCAGTTAAGAGAGGTCAAGGAATGGGAAGAGTCACACTACTGTAGGCATATGCTGCACCTCCTTATGGAAGGACAAAGAGCGGCAACTGATCAGTGTATAACAGGAGACTGCAACAGCCACGTACACTGTCCTGGAGAGGAGGACATGGCCCTTCATCTTTCCTAACCCACATAAAAACATATAAAGCAGTGTTGGCCCTTTGAGACTAATAATGAGTAGATATATGTAGATGATCTTCAGGACACATATTCCCAAACTCCGTGAATCCTGGAAATCCCCAGTAACCAACAGGCCGTGACAACCTTTCGTCTTCAAAAGGACGGAAGAAAACCCAGCCCCCTCTCTGTTTCTCCAAACTGAAGAGATGGGTCCCTGACTTGGGGAGTGAGACAGCCCTCTCACACTCCCCTACTTTGCCAGGAAGAACCCAGGTTACCTTAGAACCTAGCTCTCTGCCAGTGTGAGCTGCTGGAGTTGGAGTGTTCTGGGCTGACTTGCTGGAAGGCCAGGGGCAAACCAGCCTGAGAATTCTGCATGCATTTGACTCTCTCAATAATACTATCAACAGGTAGGTGGGGGAGGAAAGGCTGTAACTGCTTTTCATGTTTAGACACACGAGTGTGATGCCAGAGCAGACTTATTTTTCCAAGAAGTGGCTCCAGTGAGAGTAAAGACTATCACAGCCAGGACACCACCACTCAGATTAATATTTAAAGGCCCCTGACAAACTGAAAAGGTAAGAAGTTATAGCATTTACCACCATGAGGAGTCGTGGCCTTGTTCATGTATAGACAGAGTGAATCTCTTTAACTGACGAGTTGTTTGGGGGGTTTGGGGCATGAATGACACAGCTTGAACAAAAATAATCAATACAAAAAGAGAATGTCTCTGAAGGTACATAGCAGAATGAGAAACGCATAGCCATGTTATCTAAAAGGCACCAGTTTAGAATCTAACATGCTTTAGTGGCACCAACGCTGTTCAAGTCGCATTAAAATTAAGTATGACTTTAAAATCTACACATCACACGTTACGTGTTTTAGGTATGTGTATATGCGTGTGCATATATAAACAGGGCAGGTGAGAGTATTCTAGGACACTTCTGAAATGTGGGAAATTTCAGAAGAAAAATTACCGGCTTCCAAAGTATTGTGCATTGATAGCTCTGCTACAAAAAGTTATCAGTACAACCCAACAGAATGAAGCACTTTCGTGTGTTCTTTAAACACCAGAGCATAGAGATTACGAAGCTCCAAATCTGATAGTCAGCATCCTGTTTATTGACTGCACTGTTGCTTTCATGCACGTTCACGCATATGTGTAAGGCAATTTGGAAGAGAAACAAAGAATCTGTATTTATACAACTCAGAGGGTGTGCCCCTCTAAAACCACAATAATGCCACTTTCTGTGCTGGGCAGAAATGTGAAGAGAGGAGAAACACCCCCTTTAAAACCATATTCTCTCAACCCAAGCGTCAGCAACTAACTCTGAACTGCCTTTCACTTGTGGCATGAGCTTCATTTGATGTTAGAAGTCTTTTCCCCCCAATCCATTCTGTCAAATACACATTACAAAGTGAAAAGGCCAGTCCTGTATTAGAAATAAATGTCAGCAAGCCAGTAAAAAAAAAAAAAAAAAAAATGGCAAAGTTATGCAGACCTGTCTCTTTAAGCAGACAATACGAAACAGGCTAACTTGAGTTATCTTTGCCTTGTACATATGCATCTTATAAAGGTCAAATATTTAATAGAGGGGAACATCTGAAAGGCTCTACAAAGAGAAGCAGAAGCCCCGAGGTCTGGGTAAATGAAATGGATAAACACGATTAGATCAAAGAGACAGACTTCCACAAACTGTCTCCTCCCCCTTCCCTTTCTCTCTCCCCCGCTGCTCACAAGTCAACGTCCCATTATCCACATTTCAAAAGAACAACTCTGGAAGCATATTCATCAGAATTACCCAGGAAATCCGCCAGGAGGAGGGACTACCTGAAACAGTGCCCCCCTGGCAGGGTATAAACTTTTCAAATTGTCACCCAATAAACAAAACCCCAGTTGCTAAGGGGGCTCCGGCAGCCGAGCGCCTGAGCAGCCCAAAGCGTTCCCTCTCCAGGCAAAGGATCCCCGCGTTTTTACCTTTGTGTCCGCCGCAGCCTGTTCCCACTCCTCAAATGAGGCAAAGTAAAGTTTGAGAGCACAGTCCAAAAATTGGGGTCAGACATATCCATTTCTTTCTCTCTTCAATTCACTGCGGGTTCAAGGCCATAAGGCCAAAACGGGGAGAGGGGGAAAAAAAGAAAAAGACAAAAAGACAAAAAGATCCCAATTATCTACTCACTCCCTCCAGAGGAAACGTGCTGTGAACTGTGACCTCAAGAACAACTTAGAGAATAACTGAGAAGTCCCCGTGCCTGCCTTTAATTAGCACACAGCCATTTCTCCAAGGTTCGGGGAAACTTATTTCCTCCTAGGTTTGCCCTCTCCTGGTCAGCCCTGGCCGGCTACAAACAGTAATTACAAGAGTTGGGCCGTGCGTTCTGCTCAAAATGCTGTCTGTGTGTGATTCAGTCCAAGGTACTTTGTCATCTGTTTGGCAGATACCATTTGCAGCTCCCGCGGGGAGGTGAGGGGAGACGACTATTTTAAGACATCGGTTCCGGGAGGCTGTTGCTTATCGGAGAAACCATTCCACATCCGAACATGCCCAGTGCTGAGTTTCCTTTTGGTATACAAACAAGGAATGGAATTTAAATAGGAAAAGCTCCTCTTCTTCTCCCTTCCTCAAAAAAAGGAAACTTAAAAGCACTTTGAGCCAAGTGGCCTGTTGGTGGACTTGAGCCGGACACCTTGGTGCAGCCTCCCCACCTCCCGCTGGAAGGGGCTGGGGCGGCGGGGACCCTTCCCTGGGCAGACACTCCCAGGAGCGGGGCCTCATGGGAAAGGGGGCAGGCGGAGACCTGTGCCGAGCCCCCGGGAGGCCGGGACTCCCAGCATCTGCTGCCTCCGCCGCGCCCCCAGCCCCAAATGGATCATTCCCCTAAAATAAATAAATAAATGCAGCCGCGGCCGGAACACCGTGAAGCGTGCGCGGCGCACACCTGAAGGCTGATCTGTGATTCACAGCGGAATGGATCACCATTCAAACACTCCAAGGAAGTCAGTAATTACTCTTTGCCTAGACGCTGTTTGCTGTGTAGGAAAAGCATGCCAATGGGATGTCACGCTCACCTAAAACCTCAGTAAACTAAATTTATGAGTTTACCTCCATTTGATGAATTACTACAGTGCATACCTGTTTGGCTTCACGGGCTACAACGACCTGTCTAGGGGATGGTCAACCATTACGCGTAAAGAAACTACCTGGCATTCATTTAACAAATGCTAGAATGATTTTCCTTCCAAGTGGTTAGAGCTTGAAAGGAAGGAATGGAGGGGAGGCTGAGTCAATGTTATGGTTATTCATTTTGAAGAAAGGCATGGTATTCAAATAACTCCCCAAACCCACAAATGCTTGCATAAAAGTATATAAAAAAATTAGAATTTAAATTAACTGCCTAAAATCTAGTGTAATATGGCAAGAGATGTTAAATCGAAAAAAAAAATTTAAGCAAAAGTCACTTGTGAAAAATGGTTTAGTTCATCCAGTAAATACTGGGAACAAACTTCTTAGAGAAATATGAGGGTGACTATAAGGGGGTCAGCTGACAAGAGAGGAGGGTAAACAAGAGAAGTTCACCATGAGGTCATCTTTATCTAATTCTTGTGACCCGGAGTCTCCAAGGAGCCTAAGAATTTCTGATAATAATTCTTGTACAGGGCTGTCTTATGCATTATCTCCTCACATCCCTGAAATCGACAGGTAAACAAAGAAGGCAACATTTTCTCAATTTTACAAGTGACAAAATACACTTGACCAGTAAATTATAGGCTTGGTCCAGTATGTTTTGCCCCATAGTAAGCCATCTCTTCTTTTAGAAAATGTTTTGTAAGTTTTAAAAAAGTATTTCTTAAAGGCCAACCCAAATATAGTACCCAAGCTCTAGAGCAGAGTTTCACAACCACAGCACCATTGACATTTTAGGCTGGATAACTCTGTTTTGTGGGCACTGTCTTGTGCATGGGAGGATGGTTAGCAGCAGCTCTGACCTCTACCTATTAGATGCCAACTGTGACAATTGAAAATGTCTGCAGACATCTCCAAATGTTCCTTAGAGGCAAAATGACCCCCCTGGTTGAGATCATTGCTCTAGATACAGGCTCCCTCTGAGAAAGGCGGTAGAGAGCATTGGCTAAGAGCAAAAAGCTTTGGTTTGAATTCTGCATCCAGCACTGACTGTGACCTTAGCCAAGTCACTTAATCTCTGCTCATTTCCCCCATTTTTATAGGGTCCATACTAGGACCAACCTCTAGAGGTTGACAGACATAAATAAGATGACATACAAAAACCCCTTCATGCAGTATCTAGCACACCCTGCACATAAATGTCTGCAATATACAGAAGCTAAAAGAATACCATGCTGAGAGGCGTGAGACTGGAGTAGGGGGCACCCCATACGGCACCCTCCACTTTCATGGTACCTTGAACGTGCCTCTCCTGAGCCGCTGGTCACACTGTGTTATAATTGACTGTTGACGGCTGTCTTTCCTATCAGTCTGTGAGTTACTCAAGGTTAAAGCCATGTTTTATTGATCTCTGTAATTCTAAAATCTGACAGTTACTGATTTATATAAGCATTTCATAAATGTTCTTTGAATAGAGACACTTCAGATGCCCAGGTATCTATTCTTTAAGATGCCCTGAAATTATCAGATTAACAAGTCAATTGATTTTCTCAAAGAATCATGAATTCTTAAGAATCCCATGAGGATATTTCTAAATTCTAAAGACTTTCTCTTATTGACTCATTTTTATCTATAAATGGAAACAGAAGTGCAAATATTCCTCGGGTCTTATCATGGCTCTAAAAAATGTCACAATCAAATCCAAGGGGAATTCTCTTTGACTCCCCCCTCCCTTCAATCCCCAATAAGGCCAGGGAATAATTTTTGTGCTCAGTTTTAGGCATCTAAGTTTAAGAGGGATAATTACATATTAGAGGCTGCCCAGAGAAGAGTAATCAAGATGGGAAAAGGGGACTTGAAAGTGTGTTCTATAAATTATGGGTTGAGGAATTCTGTGTTGAAAGCAGAGAAGAGAAAATTTAGGAAACAAGTGACAGCTGTCCTTGAATACTGAAATAATACAATGTGGAAGAGTCTTTGGATCCAAAGATAAAAAGGGCTGAAACAACAAGGGAGCACTTCCTATAAGAATGTTTGAGTAGCGGCAACTTGAAGGAGATGCTGCGGGTGGGACTCAAGTTCTGGAGTTTCAAGACCTGATGACAATGTACCTCCCAACTCTCGTAATCTCCATGGTCCTTCTAGAAAAGCCTATGTATTTGGACAACACCCATGAAGATGATAGCAACTAAAATGGATAAATTGATGACATAAAACGGGTATTCTCTTGATTGAATGATGCATATCCTGGCCTGTGAGAAACAGATGTCATTACTATCTCCACTCCTGTACGTTTTGAGAAATCTACCATGCATATTCTCAACGGGATGGGTAAAGACATTAGTATTTTTAACTATGTATACTTTAATTTTTTTTTTTTTTTGAGGAAGATTAGCCCTGAGCTAACATCTGACACCAATTCTCCTCTTTCTGCTGAGGAAGATGGGCCCTGAAGCTAACATCTGTGCCCATCTACCTCTACTTTCTATGGGGGATGCCTGCCACAGCATGACGTGCCAAGCAGTACGTAGGTCCACACCCAGGATCCCAACCACAGGCTTGCCAAGCAGTATGTAGGTCCACACCTGGGATCCGAACCAGTGAACCCCGGGCTGCCGAAGTGGAACATGCGAACTTAACTGCTGCGCCACCAGGCCAGCCCCTACTTTAATGTTTTTTGCACTTAAAAGGCTTGTAGAATTTGGGTTGTATCCAAAGTGAAAAAATAACAATAAGTGAAGGGCATGAGGAATCAGAAATGAACTGGTTAATATAGTGAAAGTGGCTGATATATTCCCACGCTCCTTTAAGATAACAGTAGGTGTGGCACTAAAGGGTAACTTGTCTTCTAACCAGTTTGACTTGATTTGGGAACCTATGATTCACAAGGTAATGCAGTCAGTAAACAGAAGAATTAAAATGGTCAGAACTGCTGACATTTTCCTACGGACGAAACAATTATATGGGCAGAAACTAGAGTACAGTTTAGTTGCAAATGCAGTAAAACTCTGGCTATAGAACTAAGAGGGAATTGAGATCATTGGAAATTCTTAAGGCTATAGCTGGTATAGGTCAATATACAGATATTCAGCAAGATTTTCTACTTATTGCACAAGTAAGCCTACAGAGCAATGGACAAGCTTTGTTATCCAGAATGCTCATTCATTTAATCAGGATGATATAATCTGCCATTATTTTTATGAGAAAGGTAAATGAGATTAAAAAATAAGCTTGTCACGCTACTGAAATGCTACCTTAGAACAAAATGAGTATTTAAGAAAGGGTCAAATTCTTCACTATTCATCCTCCTCCTACATATAAAAAATGGCAGGTCCTTTTCACTGACTTGAATTCTCCTCTCTACTTCCCAGCCTCTGCCCCATGCCCATGCACAGTAGGATTTTCCTCCACCTTACACAGAACAGTGTTAAAGATAATATTCCTGGAGCCTTGCCTTGAACCTAGACACTAGAGGAGACGAAGTTTTCTAATGTAGGTGTGAGGTCTGGGAAGCTGTCAGCTCCCTGCACTGACACTCTGGTCATGAGGCCATGTCCAATGAGAAGATGCTAAGGAAAGTGGGGCTGATAGTGAGTTTCCAAATGTTTCTACCTGATCTTGGCTGGGGCTGGGGATTCTGCTATAAATTAACTTTGACCTCTGTTTACCCTTGTCTTCAGAGCAGAGAAGTGACTACCCCAAGGCTGTCCCCATTGGTCTACTTTGATCACCTTATAAATGCTGTCTTGAGAGTCTGAGTCTAGGAATGTGGAAAGCAAATTGTCCATCCTGAGGCAGCAATCCCTGGAATCATCACACATACTAAGAAATAATGCTTAAAGGCTGCACTAGAAATGGGAAGGAAGTTGCATCAATGGGGAGCAGATTCAAACCAAAGCTCTTCTAGAGTTACCAACCTAAAATATGAAGATAAAAATATCAATGAAAAGTAACTTGTAGGAATAGATTTGAACGCTGAAAACCGAGAGACAGATTTAAATAAGTAGGATTATATCGTCCCAGGAATGTTTAAAATATTTTAAAACAATATCACAAGGTACGAGAGATTCAGATTTCTAAAGTGAACAGATAAAACAAAGGAAACAAAATTAAATTGATTTATCTTTCCTGATAAGTTGAGCAAAGAACTACACAATTCCCAAGGGCAGGTGGAAGGAAACAGTTCCAAGAAGGGAACAGACTGGTCAGAATGGGAAGAGAATGTAACACTTTCCTCAGGTATTCCCTGAATCCCAAGAAAATCAGAGACTCAGAAAGTGTAGCAAATAACCAATAACTTTATAAAATCTAAGAGGAGAGAACAGATAGATGTGGGAAATGAAGTGCTGTTCTCCTAAATTAGTGACTCTGATTTGTATGATAGAGAAGTAGAATACAAGATGCATGAGGGCAGTCCAGTACAGGGGTACTGAGGAGGGTTTCAAAATCAGTGCTTGTAAGTATATTACCCTAACAGTCTATCCTCTGACTTGTAAGCAGTGGAAGGTCCTTGAAGAGCCCCATAGCTTATTCTGATAGAGTTCTAACCCCTGGGAGAGGAGCTGGACAGGCTGCCAGAAAAGGTATGTATGTCATCCTTACAGGGCTGGAGGGGGTCATCCTGTAGGATGGAGCCTACTGGGAGAGAGCCAGAGATAAGTGTGTTTCTCCCATTCTAAGACAGCTTTCTGGAAGATCCACCAGTAAGTCGTCACACAGAGCACCAGCGCCTAACAGAGCTAGGCAATCCAATTATGGAGCAGAGAGCAAGGCTTAGAGATCAATGCCCTCATCTGACATATAGGAAGGCTAACTCCTATCTTGCTTTAAGGCCAAACTTCCTTGCCACTTACTCAAGGCAGCCTTCCTGTGAGCCCCCTTATCCCCACTGGGTTAGGTATCCCTCTACTAGGATCAGCTCCTGAGAGCTCCTGCAGCAAAAGGTTCGCCCCCTGTATCAAATCAAAATCTTCTGTCTGCAGATGAGTCTCCTTAGAGTAAGAGCTCCCTGATTTAAAGATGTAGCTCCCTCATCTTTAAATCCTCAATACAACCATCAGGGCGAATGTTAAGACAAGGGAGAAAGGGAAAAGGGATTTTCTCAGGGTTAGAAAGATACTTGATAGCAAAATTAGGTCTAGAATCTTGATATTTTGAAGACTCACCTTGTACATGTTTTAAAAAGATTTTCCTGTCTATTCCCTTTGAGTGTCATGAGTGTATCCCATTATCTATATATGCTCTACCTGTTAGGCAGGTCTATTGTCTCAGATTTCAAAATCTTAGAAAATAGAGACCACACAAATGTAGTTATGTGCATGTAAACATGTCTATGTATACAACTAGTTTGTATGAAAGCTGAATGCTTTTTCTTTTTTGTGAGGAAGATTAGCCCTAAGCTAACATCCATGCCAATCCTCCTCTACTTTGTATGTGGGTTGCCTCCACAGCATGACTGATGAGTGGAGCAGGTCTGCAGCCGGGATCTGAACCCACAAACCCAGGCTGCCAAAGCAAACCATGCAGAACTTTAACCACTCGGCCACAGGGCCGGCCCCAATGCTGAATGTTTTTTGACTGTGATAGTGACCCTCAGTTACCAATCATTGCATTAGACTCTCAATCTGGAGTTAACTTCAAGGGCATGGTGTTTCTTGATCCAGAAGCTTGGGTCTAAGGTACATCATTTCTTATCCAGTGCCTGAGTTTACATTTACAATTACTGTGCAATTATAAGGAGAGTCAATTTGGTTTAAGTGGGTCAGTGTAGCTATATTTAGCCCTTTAGCAGCGGACACGAAGACCTTTCTGTAACATAAGATTAAGGTTAATTTATCAGTTCTTCTTTTCTTGAATGTTTTTCCAGGTCAGACATCTAAAGTTATGGAAAGTTATCCCAATAAAATAAGAGGCAAGAGTTTCCATCAAAGTACCACATACGGAGCGTATACAGACAGATATACACAGAGACCATGTATATACATGTATACACAGAGGGACTACGTGCTTCTGTAACAATAAGAATTTTATTCCATTGTTAAAGTTGATTTAAATTATTCCACAAATCAGAGGAGAATATGTCAATGAAGACACAAATTTTTTAGCTAAGGAGTTCTCAAGCAAGCTTTAGTATCTGTATCTATTAAGGTACATCATTTATTTTAAAAGAAATATTAATTCATGGGAGAATAAATGATAGGCATGAAAAATGTTCACTCTAACTAGTTATCATAGAAATGCAATTAAAACATCAGATATTTTTACCCATTTAACTGGCAAAGATGAAAAAAAGAATACTGAATGCTGGTGAGAGCAAGAGGAGATAAGTTCTCTCTACTAACTTTCTGGAAAGCAGTCTGCAGAAAGGAAACACACACACAGAGACACATACATTACATATACACAGACACATGCACACAAATGTATATTGCACATATACACATATACATATAACATACACATAAACAAATATATATTTGAACTATAAATTGACATCCTGGAATTTACACAAATATAATTGAGTATGTGCACAAAGATTTATGCATATGGAAATTAAT